ATGAGATGTGTTTCCTGTCGTAGCGATCGGGTTTCTCCGCTTAGAGCGCATAACGGAGCGCGCGCGCACACACGTGGCCTAATGCAAGTATAATTACCGGTCTCCAATAAGTCAAAACTTACACAAAAAGCCACAAATTGGCCTTTAATAATGGATCAATATTTACTGACGTTTTGATAATTAGGTGTAATAAATTTAAAGGAAGGGCTTTAGAGTTGGTGTGAGAGCGTGCGAGGATTGTATGGATGGTCACGGACGGACGAGCGATTCGTGGTATGGAAGGATACCTCATCTCACCCGGAGGGAGATGTAACATATTGCTGACCGATTTATCAAAACCAAGCAAGTCAAGCACTCCATATGGTGGGAGTTAGACCCCATGAATACCACGAACCATCACAGGATCCAAAATCAATATCAGAAAAACAACAGTCACACTATAACAGTTGACAGGAAGAAGGAAAGAAAGAAAGAAAGGAAAGCCCCCTTTTACATCGGACGTATTTAAAAGCGGGCATTAGCCTACATTTTGCGTCAGGATTTGTTTTAGACGCCTATCTTTCAGGCCTTTTATTCTCAAAAAGCATCGATTCGCCCTTTGAAAACGCAGAAGAAGAAAAAGAAGAAGAAAAAAATAGAACAGCCCGTAATAATCAAAATACATGTATATGAGTTAACACAGGAATTCCCTTTTCATTGCTCCTGTTAGACTTGTTAAAATCACCTCATTTGATTTCAATGCATGCAACCTAGTTGTACTGATTATGTAAAGACCGTACTTGAAATTCACATTTGATATGCTATCTTAGGTTCTAAATAATCTTTGTTTAATATAAATATTTAACATTTTATAAAAGTAAAGAGAGAAAAAAAAACATCATATAAATGAAAAAGGACTTTTCATTTTACGAATGAAGCTTCAAATTATATTTGAGTACTTCTCACGTAAAATTATATGCGATGCATATTATTTTTTCCCGGAAATAGAAAAAGAAAACACTTCTTCGACGAAATAAGTGACTACTTAAGTGTCTTGAATCAAATCCCAATCCGCGTGACTCTTATTATGACGTCCGTCTAGAAGGGGGGGGGGGGGATCCTGTGGATTGAAAAACACGTATAGACGGTTCAATGACCATCATGACCATGTTTGAATAGAAGGGTATACAATTGTATGATCAAGTTAAAGAGAATAGCCAAACGTAAAAACATTTCGTAATATTAAAAACCGAAACATTGGTAGATTTACCTGAAAGATCTTGAAAAGGGCTTCATCAGAAACAGATAGTTTCCGATTTTGTATCTATATTTACATATTGACAAAATAATACCAGCGTAACATATAACAGCTATTTATTTCATAATCACATTGAACAAGTAAAACACTCATGAAAATAATTTAATTCTAGATTTGCACGTTTATAACGAACACGGTCATTAGTACCAAGCTGAAAGATTCAGAATATTAGATAAAATTGTATAGAAGTAATGTAATTCCTCTAGATAATATAACAGTTTAGATGAGATAATTTACTCTCAAACCCTGTCTAAGTTTGGGGATTCATCTTTAAACTCGGATATGAACCTTACTTTGGTTGCGCCCAATCTAGACACCTTTACTTCAGGGGGCACCTGTCGCTGGTTCGCGTCACAGGTATCGACGTGAATCGGCGTCTTTCTTTCTTGTGTTCATTGTACTTTTGATATGACTTAATTCTCACTGCGACGAGAAGGAATGTTATTCATTAGCTGCTGTTGAGATTCTAATCAACCGTCCCAAGTCTGACACAGTCATGATCAAGTTGTCTCGTTTTGTTTACAACCTCAGAAGGAATAAGGATTTGGTGGTGATTAAGGTACTTTCATTTGCATGTAAACCGTAGGCTAACATTTCCTGAATGAGTGCCAGGGGATTTGGTAAGAATGAGTAAAGACCCATTTAATTCTTCATTGTATTCATAGATATTTATCGTACCTATACGTTCTTTTGGAGCGCAGTTTGATGAAACCAACAAAGCAAATAATTTTAGGGAATTTTTTGTATCCATATATTACTAGATATACAAAATAATTTCATAGTATTGATCATTGCATATGCTTTTGTGGTAAAGTGTCAGTATTTACAATAATCGATAAAGAGAAATGATTTACTTGTAGGTAATTTTCATTATTTAGCCTTTTATAAACATAATTATAATCATAATTCAAAAGAAAGAAAGAGAGATGATGATGGTGATGCTGATGTATGCAGACAATTTGGTAGGAATGTGTTAAAGAGACTGGAGTCTGAAAGAAACTATAAAATAGTGGAGCATAAAAACATGTATATCTCGACAATTATTAAAATATGAAGGAAGGTTTTTTTTTCTCTTGTCACCCCTGTCGGTAAGTCAAGTTGTAGCTTCGTTTTTCATTGACTGCCTCTCATTCATGAACGCACCTTGATCAAACCATGCATATCAAAGGCAAAGCTATAACCTTGATCGGACGGGGAAGGGGATATCATGACTAACAACAGTGGCGTATCGTGAGCCCAGTCATAAGAGGGGGACATCGGTCTCACTCCGAGAATGGTGTGCTATGGAAGAAGTGTGTGTGGGAGGGGTCCTATCGTCTTTTATTCTCTTCTTGTTCCCGTTTCAGTTTTTCTTTCCTTTTTTCCCTCTCTCTTTTAAAATTCTTTCCGTTCTTATTTCTTTCTTCATTTTTCGATTGGGGCAAGTGCCCCTCTGTGCACCCCGTGCCCCCTATAGCTACACCACTGACTAACGACACATCCTCCTCGGGTAAGGAGAACTGTTCAGTTCGCGGAACCAGAAATGCAGAGTGGTGACGGAGCGAGAGTGAAGCATGAATGACATAGGGGACCATGACAGCCCCGTGTAGAGAGAGGAAGTTACTAACATTAACACTTGTGGTGTCGTAGGGGAACGGGGTATACCTCTCTATGAACCCGTCTTCCGTAGAACAAAGACACAGTTGCATCCGCTAGCTTCATCCCATGAACTTCCATCTCATGATCTTTACCTATAGAAGGAATCCGGGCAATTCTGTTCAGCCTCCATTCTCTTGTCCGAAGATTTCGGTTTGCTTATATCATTTGGGTCTTTGACAGATGTAGGCCTAACAACATGACCAATGTAGATTGTGCATGGCAATTTAATAAACACCGACATCACTCATCTCTTTGTCAACAGTTTTAGCGTCACCGAGGTAACCATCTTGTTTGTACTTTGTGGATCCTTGATATAGAATACGGCAATTTCAATCTGATTTAAACCAACAAAATGTGTGGTATATGTAAAAGCTTGTGTAATTAGGCCTACGTTTGCTGAAGAGGGCAGATAGAAACAATTCATTACATTTGAATATATTTCCTCAAAATGTCGAAACATTGCACACAATAATCATTGAATAAACGGAATTTACTTTGCTGTGGAAATTCCTGGATCTTGATGTTGACATAAATCATATGGGCTTTAAGGCCATTCGATCTTTATTTTAACTTATCCTTACATTTCCACAATTCTTATCCGAAATGATAGAGTGATAATACATGTGTAACCGAAAAGGAGAAACCGAAGTAAGGTGTTGCATCGTGTGGTGTCTTCGCGATGCGCATCACTCTAACGGAAATACGAAGGCCCCCTACATCTTTAGTTCTTGTTGGTGACACGGTTCACCACAGCCAGTGGCCGTGTTTGGCAAATCATCCAACGTTTAGCAGTCAAGAGCTCTGTCGATCTGTCATTAACCCATCTTTGTCAGTGTCTCCATACCTTCCTCTTTCTTCCCTATCTTTCTTTGAGCAACGATGACAACTTTGCAGGGGAGGGGTGACGAGAATTTACAAATAAACTGCGCCAATTGAGCCTGAATTGTGCGAGTGTATGACAATTTGTTTCTTCGCTCTGTCTAAACTAAAACGTGGAGCGGTGTCAGGAAAGTCGAACAGTGTAATGAGAGATGGCCACAATATGTACCCTTACCCCCTTCTACTGGCACAAAATTGAATTTTATTTTACATCGACATTTAGTTTGTTGATGTTTAAATGATTGTCATTACTCTTTATAAGGAGCAAAAAGCGCTTTTAATTAAAGGCACCCTTTGGCCTATTTGGCGTCTGTTTTTAATTATTTTAAAGAGAAGTTCGTGGTCGTTTTGTAAACTTAAACAGCCTTGTTATGGTGACCATTTAAATCATCTTTTTCTCAGCGGATCGTATGTACATGATATATAGGCTCAATTTGAGCTGTAGGGCAATAGGGTATTGGAGCGAGAAAAGGAGGAAGACAAATAAGTCACAATTCAATCAGCATTAATGCCGAAATTAGATGCCGGAGATCACTGACTCATTTTGGTGCAATCTCATCAGACGGAAACGGGCGTGTAGTCGATGTTGACAATCTTCATTCCGATTCTTTAATCAGCAAGAGTGACGAATAAGACACCAGAAAAAATGTCAGATAAAGATAAATTTCCTCCCACAGGTTCAAGAAGAGATCATCGACATTAGATAGCCTTACTTATCTTAATAATCATAATAAAGACAACAGTTGTTGTCCGAATGACTACTTCGGATTAAACTGGGTCAAATATGATTAGGTGAGGTCGTGTCTCATTAGAACATTGAGTTGTATTTCAACGGAGATCTTATCCCGTAGTGTTTTTATTTATCTGTTTTGCTAAGTCCTGAAGTGTGTCGCGTTCAGGATAACACCTTTCCCGCTCCCCCATGAGTGACAAACCACTAAAACCGATCTCCATCTCCTCTGCTTTCCAAACCCCGCGTACAAGACGAGAAGCCAGGCTAGCTAGCTAGCGCTGCTCTCTCAACTCAACTTGTTTATATATGTGTGTACCTAAATCCACGTGTTCCTTAGCCCCAGGCAAAGAAATCTAAGTTGGAATGAGCTGTTAAATGTCCGCTTTCTAATTGCTTGTCCTAATGACTCTTTTCCTGCTTTCTCTCACCTCCCCCTTCTCTGTCTCTCCGTAGGGTTCCCGACGGGCCTGTACACAACAACAGGAGCTGAGAACACTGCTCTAGCTCACACAGCTCATCAAATGTCCCTCGCTGACTATAGGCGGCAGGCTAACGGTATCAAGAATCACGTGACATGTAGCGTCGGTTCGGCTGATATTCATCTAGAAGGAAAGGTATGTATCAGGTGGAAATACCATGATTCAAAAATGGGAATGTAAACTATAATTGAAATAAGCCCACCGCCAAACAACGGAGTCTACATTTTTAAAGAATATACTACCCGGACATTGTTATGGAGTTGCTTATTCCAATGTTTCATTCGTTTAAGATAATCTCATATCCAATTTAAAGATATAAAGGAATACATTGATTAAAGATTTGTTATTATTGATAAATAACAACAACAACGAAAAGGTGTAAATATTTTCATCAATGGAAGTGAAATAAATATCACATAGGCCTGACTATATAGCGATGAAGATGAATGAAATGTTATTTATTAAAGAGTCACCCCGATTCTATATCAAAGTTATATAGGCAGTATTCTATTTAATTTCGCTTTCTTTTAATCCAATCAAGTTCACAAAAAGAATATCGAAAAGACTCAGAACATACCGGACATACGAGCTGCAATAACAATTCATAAACAAGCAATGGTACCGAAGAACAGACAATAATTACATCGTCAACTTTATTTTGGTCGTTTCTTTTCTCGTTCTCGGGGCATTGAACTGAGTTCATTCGGGTAGTCACAATTCACTCACCAAGAAGTTGAGATTGGCGTGGGAGTAAAATCAGCCATAAACCTTTAAAGGTGCTTTTTACTTTTTCAGGTGAATTTGAAAGTGGTGAAATTGTGCACATTTTGGAATACTAGATGATACATAAAGCTTCAAGCATATTGTTGTTCATTTAGAGTAATTGATAATGATGGTAATATTAATGATGATAAGAAATTATTAAAACGAAAAGGGTTAAATGGCACCTGTAAAGAATGCATATATTCTAATATTAATTTTACATATGCTTGAAAAGATAAAGAAGGAGAAAACAAATGAAGCTTGGCACACTATTTCCATAACTTTCCCTTCATATATGAAATCGCCAACCGATAAATATTACATACATTTGATAAAGATATGAATTAATATTTTGTTATGAATAAATGCCAAAGCTTGAAATATCTAACTTAAATCCAGTTTTTGCTAAAAGCCATATATTAGAACCCCAACTTTAAATTCAATTTGTGATAGTAGTGTTGACGAAACCTTCTGAAAGGCAAGCCAATATAGTGGTAAAATTCGGGTGCATCGGAATCACTATCAACATTATTTGAAAATGAAGCTTGTATAGGTCATTTTGCAGTTTCCTCCCATTACGTCTTTAAAAAAGCAAGCATGCACTCAGGATACACAGAAATACATGTACTAAAAAACTGTACTGAAATACATGTACTGAAATGCAGATAACAAACCCTTTTCATGAAGCTGTCTAATTTGCTTCATATTGATCAGGATTGATTCACGATTTTTTTTTTAATGACGAAAAAGTAGGTTGTAACTAATCAGATCAGAATTTCTCTGTTTTGAGCATAATGAAATACTTTGCTATTAAAAGCGTTGTCATATCAATATTTAGATATGAATATTTGAATACAAATATAGTATTTATGTCTATTACATGAATGAATATAAAATAAAAACAATTATTTTTACTAATTTTGTATGATAAACTTTGATATTAATAATATAATCGCACAAGATATCTATTCTGAATGTAACAATAGTACATTAAAAGTTTACGAATAGGATGGGAACGTCGAATATCTTTCAAAGCCTTAAACAACACTTAAATTTCCCTACTCTACATGATAAAGATGATCACATTTAACCAAATGGTAATAACATTGCGAAAACACATAATTCTATGTGCAATCATTAATCAGTCATCGGGTTAAATTGTTAAATTGCACCCAGTACCACTTATTAATGAAACCTTTTATGTTTTAGGGAACATCATACCATTTAAACCCTCGTCAGATGGAATTAAAAACCCACAACATTTTAGCGAGTCCCTCATGTATTTGCCTTACAAAGATAAATACGAATAAAGTAGTGCATGAGGAGACAAAAATGGGGTAGAAATGAGATTAAAAAACGGGGTTATTGAAATTGATATAAAAGAATTAGGTAAGACAAGCACGAAAGCGATAGGTACATCGCCGTTTCACTTGTTTGCCCCGGGGGAGAGACCCTTAGCTATCCAGATGGTGCTAGGGCATAGATGAAACGCAAACTATACACCCCAATAAAATCCTCATCTTCATTTGATACGTATTAGGAACGAAAGAAAGGGTGCAAATCGCCTGGATTTAAAACCCCTCGATCAGGGAGTTAAGCCCCCGGGCAACGCCCTTTTAGCGAAAGAGTCAATATTGGTATTTTGAGCCTTTCAGTGCTCTCTCGTTTTGTGCGGAGGGGAATCTCTTGAAGCGATCGCTCTTGGCGTCACAAAAGGCGAGATTGGGGCGCACTGGGGTAAAAAGGAAAGCTTACTATGTAGGCCTTTCAGTATCATCACGGAAACAGAATCGTCTGTTGCTACTTGAGGAGAGCATTAAATCTCAAAAACTTGGCTTTATTTGAGAATGTGTTTCAAGAGGAGTTCTATAATTCTAATCTCTAACATAAGAAAGGTGAAAATCAGTCGATGACAGGGGTGAGAAGGCCAAACTTTCAACACTTGGGGAGGGGTGAAGGCGTAGGCAGAAGAGGAGTCTTTGAGCACCCGCATGGAGTTCCTCTCGGGGATGGAGCCGGTTGGGCCTCCGGGAGTGGCGGTGGCGAGATACCCTCCTACCCCCATGCAACCCCTGCAAAGATTCCATGTCGGATTGATCAAGATATGCTTTGTTTTACCAGAGAATCTTACATTAGTATCTGACCTTGATCGGCTAAATCATAACCGCGTGCTGAGTTAGAAACTCGATATCTTATCATGAATGGTATTTTTGATAAAAGCTTTTTCATTTAGAAGCGTTGAAAACTGATACCATTCACGGCATCTGTTTGGAATGGCAGTAGCAAACATCATAACAGAATATTGACATGATTGTATGTAAATGTATAAGGACAATGTATCTTGAAAGAATGAAAGGTTTGGCGATAATGGGTTTCAAAATCTCTCTCATCAATATGATGGCATGAGATACATGTACTGAGCAACGCTTTAGCAAACAAAGAACGTTAATTCATCTAAATATTTTATGAAAAAATAATCCTGTTTACAAGAATCATAAACAAAGGGCTCAAAAATGTAAAAGACAAGGGTTTGGAACCTGGCCGTGTGACAGTTATTCAGTTTTAGATGTGTATGGTTTCTTTTATGCTATATTTCAACAGTAGAAAATATACCCAATTTCAAATAGCAAGCATATCATAATATATAAAAGAAAAAAAAACAATTGTTTTAAATGTTTCCTGTAATTTTGTTGATTTGAACACAAATGGAAGGAATTGACTTGTCATGAGATATTTGTATGTACATGTAACTTTGATATTCTCACGTTTAAACATATTTTGTCCAGAACGCGTACTGTATCTAAATAAAACAAATACGCAATACGTGTTGATCATGATTTTTTTTTTCAAGTTCCTTTTTAACTGTATCCTTGTCAAACAGCAACGATATTTTTTTTGGTAAACATTATCAAAATAATAAAGATGCGAAATTTGCTACATTTGGTTGACGATTTTTGGCACATCGCTTTAAAATATTTCTGATTACAAAAATAATGACAATAACTTTGACAATACTATACATGTACAAGTGATGCTTAGTTTTAACATCTATAATAATATACCTCCCTTCTTCGTCGTTATATGCAATTTTTACCTTCATTCCTTTGCTTCATCCACAGGACCAAACAGCATCGATGAGTAACTTCGTAGTGACCACGCCCTCCTTAACTGCCTACCCCGCCCACCCGACACCGGGCTACGTACCCACCTACGGCACCACCGCCATGCCAAGCGGGCTGTCACACCACCATCTCTGGTCGGCCACGCCCAACACCGCCATGAGCTGTAGCGGAGATGCTGTTAGTGTGTTGGATGGTTCGAACGTGCTCCGGCCATCACCATTCGGCTACGGGAAAACCGCCATGATGCCCACTGGGTCGTCGTGTAACGGCTCCATAGTTAAGTGGGTTTCCTGTTTCTTTACTCTGCTTTATGTTCATGATTAGTTCGCATTGATGTTAATATCATGTTAGATTATAACGTTACACACAATTTCGTTTTTCCAATGAACTGGTAATACGAATTGTGGTAATAAAACAATTATGTACATAGCACATTCATTTCAAGCCACAATTGTAACAAAACTAAAACATTTTCTCTTTTCAAAGAGATATAAACAATATTACTTTTACTCTCGAATAAAAGATAGTATAGGCAGCAAATATCTGCATATCTGCATGTTGTTGAAAATTTGTGTTTTATTGTAGATGGAGTGCAAAATATCGAAAGTTATCATTTCCTATCTACATTGTATATCCCAAGTGTGATACTCAGTTACAAAGTGATTAGGAAAACTATGCAAAGCAAATGAATTCAAATTATTTAAAAACATTTCCGTTTACAAATAATATGTAAACATGAAAATACATCATACAAAACATGTCGATTAATAATCAGGCCCTTATATTGAATATTACAATGAAATTATAGAGTAGGCCTCTATTTAATTGATAAGTGGCTCATACACGTCAGTGCAATATAATTTTCTTTGAGTCCCCTCTAAAGTGTTGGGAGTGTCGTGAATTCGCCAAAATTTGATGGCAAAACTTGGCTTAAATTGTATCATAATGTGAAGGGGATGTCATTTAAGACACATTTCTGCAAAGATTCCCCCCCCCCAAAAAAAAAAAAAAGTTTGAAGACAAATATCAACAAAAGAATACATAACTTGGGTTTTCTGTCGTACGCAGGAAACCTAAATTTTGTATTATTTCATCAATATTCGACTTCAAACACGTATGTTTTGAAAATGCTTGCAGAAATGTGTCGTAAATGACATTCTCTTTCACCTTATGATACAATTAAAGTGAAATGTTGCCATCGAATTGTTGGGGCTCCCTACACTTTAGAGGGGCTTTAACATTGTTCACGGATTGTTAATTTTCATTTGATTGATGTTCGATTGGTTTCTTTCGTTGATCCTTACAGGTGCGGAGATGAACAAGCAATGCAATTCAGCAATGGAACTCCTCAGGGTCGCACAGACATGAGATAAGATGACCTCATTATATGATGATCACGTGATAGCCGTAACGCCCCCTCATTGGTTCAATGGTTCAATACCGATCGCGCAACAGATATCGATTTGTATTTGAACTCGGGTTTATCGGATTGACCAATAACCGAGGACGTGGTGCATTTTGGATATTTTCACAAGCTTCATAGCGATTATACGATTGGGGGAAATGTGGACAAGTGACAATGGAAATGTTCGAACAACGGTCAGGAATATTTTTGGATTTATGCAGATATTACAGAAGAACGGTGACACTTTTGAAGAGACTGATCAACTCTATCAAACTTCTTACGTTGTATATAGGCCTACACAAAGCGACAGGAGTTGTCTACAGTTGATCGGAGGAGCAGCATCCTTCAAACTTTATCAACATAATTTAATGCACGATGGTGATCGAATCAGTGTGATAGTAGTTTGTGATAAGTGATCTTGTTTAAAATGAGCTAAAAGTCGAATGAATATCCAGATGATTTAATAATACAAAGAACATGGAATTCCCTTTGCCAAAGGCTAGTGAAAGAACAAGTCGAATATCGTACAGATGACGTCATGTGCACTCCATTTGCATCTCAACGAAACCCTACCAAGGAAATGTTGTTTATGCTTCCTGTGACTGAGATATGAGTTAGCGTTATGTGTATAATTGTTTTACAACTCACTCAGTATCATGTGACCTACTGCTTTGTTAGTTTGTTTTCTAAGACAGTCTTCTTTGAGTAGTGTACCAAAAATTCAAATGAATTCTTCAAATTCTGTGTTGGAATGTTTCTTTTGTTTTCCTTTATTCCAGAACTTATCAAACTGTTATCGATGTTTATTATTCTGAAATAATGGATCTCAATATTAAAATAACTTATCCAGTGATTATGACCTAAAGTGTGATGGTATAATTTTTTTTTAATACTTAAATTTACCCAATATTGGGTCAAAGGGTAACATGCATGTTTTGTTTGCAAAATGTACCCAATTTTAGGGAAATGTTATGCAATTTAGGGCACATCTTACCCGGTATTGTGTAAAACTTTACCCAACAAACATGCATTTTTCTTTTTATCCAATATTGGGTAGAATTTTACCGAACTGTTTTTTTTCTTCTAATTGGTAGGAGTGACGTCACAACAGGAGTTGAGCTAAAGTATTGACGTCATTTGTGATAGTAGATTTGTTAAGATTTTCACCTAGATGATAATAGAAGAAGAGGATATCATTACAGAATCCAACAATTACAGTTCAGAGAGAAATCAATGAAATTGTTAACAGGATAATATAGTTATTTAGTGAAACTGAGGATTATTGGAGATTGTAAATAACAAAAGTTTGTGTTTGTTAATGTCGTTTACGAGAAGGCAAGACTCAGCCTCTACATTTTGATATCCATTTAGACTTGACGGCTTGAATGCGGGATGATGAATATGTTTAAATTAAGATTCAAACAAAGTGCAATGTTATTATTATATGTTGATGATTTGTATGTTTGTTCTGCGCATTATTTCACATTGAACTGTGCTGCTTGATCTAATTTTAGAATACCAAGTGACAACGATGTTAGTTTTTAAAAATTGTGCATTAATACTTCCTATCGTTGATAGCCATGCACCTAGCCTTAGCAGTTACGTAGGCCATCTTAAGACATTTCCCAACTCGGAAATTGACAGCAAAGTGCTGCTAAAGACATCAATAAATAAATATATTGTTCATCGGAATTGATAGTTGTGACTAGCAGTTTTATTCTGAAACAAATTAAAAGATTTTCTTTCCTTCATAGCAATAGTTATTTAAGCTACATTTTCAACTTTGGTAGACACGCCAAGTAAATTAATTTTATGAAACCTTTCGTAAGAACGTAACAAATTTGCTGAAAATGACTTTATTTTATATTGTACTGAAATAATTAAGGGTGTGAAAGTCAGTTGACTCCTGCGATACTGTTAAAACTTTATTCGCCTTGGTGTGTAGTTTAGCTAGTCAAAACTTTTTCCACTTCAGTAAGTCGAATGAACTCTGTCTAAGGATTTATAAGTACTGTTGGGATTCTCTAAATTGTCTATCGCAAACGATGCTATGGTAAATTTATATGCGTATTTGAAGGTTACTTTCATGGTACGATGTGAAAACAGTTCTTTACAGGAACCAGGAATTAAGAAGACTTATCTCATTATTTTCTTTTCTAAGATTGCTGGTCCCATCAATACAAACAACGCATGGCGTCGAGTAATTGTTTAATGTAACAGTTCTGAAATAATTATGTTTATATGACTTGAAATAGCTTGCGCAATGGACAAGAATATTGTACAGAATGATTAATAAAACAACATGAAAACTCCTATTAAATTCTCAAATGCACTTCTCATTTTATTGGTTTGTAGGTTAAACATCAAAACAACTGTAAGAACTGTAACCAAATATAAAAGAGAGAATGGAGAAGTAGACAGGCAGGCAGATATATATAGAGACAGAAGGAGAGAGAACAGAAATTTTAGAAACAGGCGGAGAAACAGAGAGAAAGATATGAAGAGGGGAGAGAAGGAGGGAAAGAGAGAGAGAGAGAGAGAGAGAGAGAGAGAGGAAGAGAGAGAGAGAGAGAGAGAGAGAAGGGGGGAGAGAGAGTGAGAGGGTGGGAGAAAGGGAAGGAAAGGATGGCAGATAAGAAAGATCCAGAGAAGAGAGAAATAGCGAGAAGGGGGAGGGGGATGGAGATGTACATACATAGAGAAAGGGTAAATAGAAGAGAGAGAGAGAGAGAGAGAGAGAGAGAGAGAAAGAAAGAAAGAAAGAGAGAAAGATAGATAAGCGAGAACTTGAAAAGAGAGGAAAAGAGGACCTAACTCTCTTTTGGACACGGATGTACTTCTTTAAAAAAGCAAGTGGCTTCAGGTCCGGGCTTCAGGTGTACATGATGACAATTATTTTAGCATATTAAATGTGAAGCAATATCACATTTATTTTCAATACGGTAGGCAAAGAGCGATACCCAGACCATGGTGAATAAGAATTGAGATAAAACAAAGATGTGTCAGGTTTTCTGGAGCGCCGGGAGTGTCAAATCTGACAAAAATGAACGCTATATAAGAACCTACAATTATTATCATTATTATTATTGTTATTATTATCTACATGGATATAACGATCAATTAATTTGTTAGATTTTATTTCGCTTTCCCGATAAACTTAAATCAATATTTCAATAAGAAAGGCAGAATACCCTCTTTCAAGAGAATGTTTTTTGGGGTGGAGGTTCAAAGAGAGCCCGACTTTTTGATAAATATGAACTTCTTGCATTGCGCCCTCTATATTTTACAGGTACTTTTTTTAGTTCAAAATCATTGGTCATGACGTTTTTATGTCTAATAAAAATTAGTAGTAATGAATAATGGATGAAGTCCAGAAATAGGTCGAATCCCTAAACCAGGAAGGGTTTGGATGGGGGGCAAGGACCGGGCGATCGTTAACCCCGACCGTGAGCCCAGCATCTGGGATGACTTGGGAAGGGGTATCTGTCAGCGGTTTCACTACGTTGAAGGCCGAGAATCTACTTATCGCCCGATGAAAAGCGTTCAATACAAGGAGGAACCTCCGCCTCCTCTGCGGGCCACAGGAGTTAGCAGCGCTCCAGGCCGGCCGACAAGGCAGGACGTGTTCTCTTTTGAGTGTCGCCTTGCTTGTCCCGTTGTCAAGTCGAGCTGGTGCATGGACTAAGGTCGTAACCCTTCAGTTAGGAGAGTTCTCCGAGGATAGCGAGCCTGAATAGCACATGGCGTTAGGGTTCAGTGGAGAGGGTAGTCGGTATTAGGAGATGAGCCGGGCTAGCTAGCGGGGAAGAGAAGACAGCAAGTAGCAGAGTTCTGGAGGTCACGGTCTCGTTCAAGTCTAAACCTTGAAACTTGACTGAAACGTGCTATCAGCAGGCAAAAACCTTGATGGAGCATTAATGTAAAACTCTATAAAATTGTGCTTATTACTTTATTGCTTATTGTTTCCCCTTTTCTCAAGCAGTTTTATTGAAAGATAAGTATGTTATACATCCACCGTCTTGAAGAATAACGATATAATTCTCCCAGTATAGATTTTTTATATATTTATTTAATTCAAATCATTGTATGTTGGGTAGGCAGGAGGGGGTAGAGACTCCCCAAATATTTCCCATAATTCAATACTACATTCACCTCATTTTCTGGCGGTATGGTCTCTCAAAATGTTTGAAAGTGTAGTAAGAGGATTAAGAAGAGGGTTTGATGTATTTACAGAGAAATTTGTAACTTTTGTATAATTATATTCCTGACATTTCTAAACGCTTTCGACAAAACAAATTTTAGTTCAGTAACGTAATCCAATGGGCATAGGCCTACTGTGTAATAAACCTAAACCTACAATTCCAAGAAAAGAGATAGAGACAGAAGAAGATAGAGAGAAATATAAAGAGAAAATATGGTGAAGGGGGAGGTGACGGGACAGGTATAAGAGGAGAGAAACGGGAGGAGGAAAGAGAGAGAGAGAGAGAGAGAGAGAGAGAGAGGGGAGAAGAAGAGTGGTGGTGGTTGTCCGCAATACCTAGGGGCTACAGCCTCCAGTCACGTTTGCCTTCGGGAAGCTACTCCCCCCCCCCCCTCATGGCAAATTATATTTTGATATTAACACAAAATTCTTTATATTTTTTGTTTTGTTATTCTTCTTCATGTTCTTTAATACGTGATTCTATTACCAAAAAAAAAAAAAAACTGCATATAATGTGCGTCACGCACCTACATGCATGCTTATTTCTTTCTTTTTCTAACAGTTTATTTCGATCTTTGGAATAATTAAATACTATATGTGTGATATTAAACGTCATTAATGCCATAATATCCATGTGTTTCTAAAGCAAACAAACAAACAAAAGCAAAGACAGATCCTAAAAATGACCGGAGATTCATAGATCGACTACAAAATACTCTTTCATCTCAACATTATCACACAATCATCATTTTTATGGGAGACATCGCACCCAGAGTTGGATGCTAGCTCATGTTATTGATGGGAACTCACTCAGTATTCCACATTCAAATATCATGTTTTGCCATCTCACATTCATAATGTGAACATTGATACATGCATTAGGGTTCAAAGGCCAAGAAAGCCCCGGATGTAAAGGGTTTGTCTCGCCTTCTCGAACAGCATTGCTTGTTAGACTCACACCGTGTGATGGAACGAGGTAAACAGTTGTGAAGATAGAGAAGTGGTAGCGATGATGGTGGTGGAGCTTGTAGGGTCCTCGATGAAATCGACCAAGATGATGACAATGGTGATGTAACGACGATGATAATGAAGATGATAATGATGTTGGTGACGGGATATTGATGCTAAAACGATGGTAATGAAATAACGGTGATAATATTGATTATGATGATGATGATGATGATGATGATGATGATGATGACGACGATGACCATAATGATGATTGTGATGGCAGCAATATTGTTAACTTTTTCGGCAAAGTTTACTCTCTCCTTCCCTCCCATTCTTTACTTCTGTTTACCGTATAGCTCTATACCTCTCTATGCCGCGCTTTTCTTCATTCTTTTTGTATTCTCTTTCTACAGATATCTCTTATCCCCCCAAAATACTATTTTCAATTTCGATTGTGCTATCTGCTTATAGACTACAATTATTCTTCTCCATTTAACACATTCATAATTAGGTTGATGATAATTATAAATAAATATGAATTGTGCTCTAGGAAGTTTTTCTCTCCATATTCATCAATCAGGGCCGTATCTAGGAAATTGTTTCTTAGAATGTTACAAGACAAATGTATAAAATATAGTTATACAAAAATCTAGAGATACATTTCATGATCAAGATAATCTTCATTATTT